CCTCAGCAATTCCACGCACGCGCCGGCGCAGGAGCGAAATGATTTAGAGGCGCAAACGGCCGTTCACCTGGCGCCTGAAGTCAGGGTTCTCGCGGGGCCATCTGTCGGCCGGCCTTGGAGAGCGGCTCCCGGCCTGGGGCGCCGCATCTCAGGCCGGCAGGCTGCCCGAGCGCCTGCTCCCGGGGGCCAGGGTGGACTCCGCGGGTTTCGCAAGCGTCCGGCTCAAGCGGGGCGTGCCCGGGGTCCGGCCGGCGCTCCTCCTCCGGCGAACGGCTGCGGGCCTGACCTGGCTCTCGGGGTGACCTCTGGGCTGGGGCGTCTATTTTGAAGGAGCCTGCCATTTGGTCTTGGCCAAAATAGTTGAAAGAAAACCCCAGAATAGCAGGCGGGTCTGCCTGGCTTAGCGGCAGGCGTGTGGCCGCCAGCGGGCTGGGAGCGGGGTGGCCGGGGCCTCTGTCGCCGAGGCCTTGGGGCGGCCTGGGGGTCCTGCCCTCGCTGAGTCAGGGCTGGGCTGGCTCCCGAGAGTGCATGCTGCCGGGCGGTCCGGGGCGCTGGCCGCAGGCCCCACGGCGCCTCACTTTCCAGACGGGCAGGCCCAGGGACAGAGCCGGTGGCCCTTACGCCCCGGAGCTGCCGGCGAGTCCCCGAGTGACCCTCCTGGGCAGCGGTGGGGACCGATGGTGGGGGGACGGCAGCTTAGTTCCTTGGGACGACGCCCCTTGCTGCTTCCTGGCCAGCCTCCGTCTCCGGTCACGGGCTGGGCCTGCGCCCCAGCAAGAGGGTCACCTGGCCTGTCTCTGGGCGGGGCCGGCCCGAGCCCCACGCCCCGTGCGCCCCTGATGTGACGGCGCTGGTCTCGGCAAGGGTGTCCCCACCCAGAGGTGGGGCTCTGCTCCACCCCCAGGCCCGGCAGGCGTCAGCCCTGCCCCCACCCCGTCCCTCACGCGTAGATGGGGTCACACGGCCGCCCACCACCTGGGCAGGGAGCCCACGGGTCAGGCGTCCTCGCCCAGCCGCCGCGGCCCCGCCTGTTGCCTCCAGATCTTGCCGTCCCCACCTCGCTCTCCAGGTCCAGGTGCGGCCACTTCCTCGGCTCCAGCAGCCTGCGGGGGCCCATGGGCCGGTCCGGAGCGCGGGACCCCCCCAGCAGACATCCAGAGCCACCTGGGGCTGGCGGTTGAAGGTGGCCTGAGCGGCAGGTGAAGGAGGTGAGGGCGTCGCCCGGAGACCAGAGCGCAGGCCCACACGGCTCTCAGGCCTCCCTGGGTGGGGCTGCACTGGAGAGCCCAGGCCAGGGCCCCAGGTCAAGGTCAGGCTGGAGAGAGCAGCCGGCACCTAGCTTGAGGGGGAAGGAATGCAGGGGCCCTCCCGCCCCGCCCAGCCACACCCCAGTGCTGGCTCTGTGGGGACAGAGGACCCTTGGGTCCCTCCCAGGCCAGGCCCCTCCCTGCCAAGGCCCCAGGCCGCTCGGCCACTTCACTTTCTCCCGCTTTACCCGCTTTACCCGAGACTGGCTGGCCCCGGGCGACTCAGTTCCCGCTCTTCTGACCCCAGGCAGCGGGGAGGCTCAGGGGCGGGGCAGCCGCCAGGCTGGGGGCCGGAGGGGTCATCTCCAGGGACAGGGGTCCCTGAGGCCAGAGCCCCCCAGCTGCGAGGACCTTGCCCCTGTCGGGAGAAGTGGGAGGGGGGCCTGGCTGCACCGGCCCGCGGCTGGGGCCCAGAGGGTGTCGCTCGGCCGGACGCCCGCTCCGCGGTGGCTCCGGCCGGGAATCTCCTCCCGCGCTGGCAGGATGAGCAGGAGCCGCGCGGGTCTGACCGTCCAGGCACAGCCGGAGGAAGGCCGGACCTTTCCAGGCCGGAGGCCTCCGTAAGCCGCAGTCGGCCCAGGGGCCCTCGAGACCTGGACACGGAGGGAGGCCGTCACCGCCCCGTTAATGTCTGCAGTGCCCGGAGGTCACAGTCTACCACTCAGCCTCTGCTGATGGCACATTTTGGGCTCTGACAGGCAGAGAGGGCCCTGCCTGCCTGGTGGCGCAGCGGGTCAGAGCACAGCTCTGGGAGCCGGCCAGCCGGGCTCGACCCCCCGCGGGGAGGGGCCCCTCCCCGCTGCACCCCGGCAGTGGGCTTGCTGCCCGCCTGCCCTCCTCCCCTGTCTCTGTGCGTCCTCCCCCCGCGCTACAGCCTGCAGCCCAGTTCTCGTGTGCATAAATAAATAACATCTTTAAGAAAGAGGCAGGAGGTGTCAGCTGGCCCCTGTCCGGGGGTGAAGCCTCTGGGGGAGAGACCCCATAAAGGACAGAACGCCAGGGCTGGGGGAAGCCCCCGCCCCGCTGAAGTCACCGGCCGCCACCCTGACCGGGAAACTCCAATAAACAACAGCGTTTTCCAGACCAAGATCAGCCTAAACCCAGATGCGGGGCGCAACTCCCCAGCCCTGCGGCCCGCTCCCGGGACCAGGCTGGAGCCTCGTGTGCGGGGGCCACAGAGCTCGGGTGTGCCCAGGGCACCGGGCGCTGCCACCTGCAGGGTCGGGGCAGCGGCCAGGAGGGGCCGGGGTC